CATACTCAGTCGTGTCATTTGTGAAGAATGACAGTTTCATTCTAATCATTATTTCTTTTTTTTTTAATTGGGAAAGGAGGGGAGCATTTATTAAAATGGCTAGACCCTTGAATATAATGTTAAATAGAAATTATGATAGTAGGTATCTTTTTTCTTGTTGCTGATCTCAGAGCCAAAGGTCTCATCATTTTACTAAGTATGTTTGCTATATTTTTTGATGACTTCTATTACATAAAAGAACTTCCCTTCCGTTCCTAGTTTACTAAAAGTTTTTGTTATGAATATGCATTGAGTTTTCTACATCTATTGAGATGATTATAGGATATTTATTCTTTATTCCATTAATGTGGTGAATTTCATTGATTCATTTTCTAATGTTGAAGCCAGTCTTAGATTCTCAGTCATGATATTTAGCCTGATTTGATAAGCTAATATTTTGTTTTTGCATTTATGTTCATCTTATGATACTTCTCTCAGGGTTTGTTATTAAAGATATGCTAGCCTCATAAAAAGAGTTGAAATGTGGGGTGGGGGAGGTTTTCTTTCTTTTAGTTTTTGGAAAAATTCACTGATGAAACCATCCAGACCAGGCATTTTATTTGTGGGAAGATTTTGATTATAGATCCAATTTCTCAAAAAGAGAGGATCCTTTTGGTATTCTATTTCTTCTTGTATCAGTTTTGATATATTACATTTTTCCTGGAGTTTATTTCTTTTTTTTTTTTAAAGATTTTTTATTTATTTATTTGACAGACAGAGATCTCAAGTAGGCAGAGAGGCAGGCAGAGAGAAAGGAGGAAGCAGGCTCCCTGCTGAGGAGATAGCTCCACACAGGGCTCATCCCAGGACCCTGGGATCATGACCTGAGCCAAAGACAGAGGCTTTAACCCATTGAGCCGCCCAGGCGCCCCGTTTCCTGGAGTTTATTTCATTTAAATTTCAAATGCTTTGGTATGAATTTGATCAGTTTTTTCAGAAAACTAAACTTTAACTCTGTTGATTCTCTTGAATGCTAATTTCTGTTACATTTTCCTTGATGCATGGGTTATTTACAAATACAGTAATTAATTTCCAAGCATTAGGATCCCCTACGTGTGTTTATTATTGTTGTCCACCTTAATTCTACTGAAGTCAATTAGCATATTTCATATAGTACTTCTCAAACTGTGATAGAGGACTTGTTCCTTTTTCCCAATCTATGTTGGACTAGCAACTTTTAAAAAATACAATAAAAATGAATTTATTAGAAAATCAAAATAAAAAAATATATAAGAGCAAAGCCCCAGGTTTATTTTTTATTATTAGGTTCTATAGAGACGCACTACTATATCAAATGGCTATATTTTCTGAACACTTATTCTCAATATCTAAACCTATCTAGTTGTGGTCCATTAACACCTGTGAACCAGTACTAGTTCATAGGAAACACTTCCATGTTGTGCTGCTTGTTGTGATTTTAGTCTTCAGAGTTTGTTGAGACTTGCTCTATCACCTTCCACATGGTCAGCTTCAGTAAATGTTCCTCATGCAGTTTAAAAGAAGGCATATTTTATACTTGCAGAGTGGAGTGTTTTATGTATGTTACTTAGATTGTTTCTTTATCATGTTTTTTAACTTAACTATATTGAGACATAATTTACATGCAATAAAATATATCTATTTAAATGCACTGTTTGATGGATTTTTAACAAATATAGACTCCCAAGTAACCACTAACACAATTAATACAGAACATTTTTTTTTAAGATTTTATTCATTTGTCAGAAAGAGAGAGAGAAAGCACACATGCAGGCAGAGAGGCAGGCAGAGGTGGAGAGAGAGGCGGAGCGAGAAGCAGGCTCCCCGCTGAGCAAGGAGCCCGATGTGGGACTCGATCCGAGGACCTCGGGATCATGACCTGAGCCGAAGGCAGCGGCTTAACCCACTGAGCCACCCAGGCGTCCCAATACAGAACATTTTAAAAACTCAGTGCCAGTCCCTAACCCCAACTCAGGCAATCATCACCATTCTATGTTCTGCAGCTACGGGTTTGATTAGATAGATTTGTGGGGTTTTTTTCTGGGTTTTTTTGTTGTTGTTGTTGTTTTTGTTTTTTTTTTTAATGGGGAAAGAGGCCCAGAAGGAGAGGGAGAAACAGAACCTAGTACAGAGGCCGATGTGGGTCTTAATCTCACATTCCTGAGATCACGACCCGAGCTGAAATCAAGAGTCAGATGCTTAACTGACTGAGCCACCTAGACACCCCTAGAAATGTCTTTTCTAACATTTCATATAAGCAGAATTATATAGTATGTGCTATTTTGTGTCTGATTTCTGTGAAGGATATAAATAGTGCAGAATTTGGGCTCATTACAATGCATTTTCCTTATCTTTAAGATCTTGACCCTCAAGACCTGGCTGACTTGGTAGAACTCCAGTGCTTTCCTAATAATATGTTTTTTTCAGCTCTTGTAGTTGGAGTCAGTGGGATGGTTGGTCTAAAACAATAGTTCATGGTAGCCAAAGGCAGAAGAGCTCTGGCAGTATTTAGTGAAGGTACAGTGTGTATAGAGATCAGGTGTGAGGGTGAGTGTTCTAACTAAATGGAATTCAGATGACTCTCCCAAGAAATCTGAGCAGGATTGAAAGATCCAAAAGTAGATTGTGTCCATTAAATTTAGGCTATGTATCATTATATCAGTCAAGATTCAGTGCCAGAAACTGGATGTTCTAAACAGGAGAGCATTAAATACAATGAGTTAGTGTTTACAGATTGTTGGAAGGTTTGAAGGAGTAAATTCTAGACTTGGCCTACAAAAATGACTCCCAAAATAGTGCTAGAGCTGCTCTGTCAGGGAAACTGCTACGTTGTGGACTGCCACTAGCACGGCACAAGAAGCACAGTTGCTGCCACTACCATACCACGATCTCACTGATAGCAGCAAGAAAGCCTTGCTATCGCTTGAGCCTTCCAGATCTTGCAAGATTGCCCTTCACTGAGAGATCCGAACTAGAATCACACACTACTTGTAAAGAATATAGGAGTTGTAGTTTTCCAAGTTTTAGGAAGACAGAATGAGGGTATAATGAGAGCTGACGAAAGTTTCTACCATGCACATAAATTGAAAGTGCAGTGTGCCTCTGACTTAAAGAGGGTGAGTGGTAATTCAACCATATTCTAAATTGTCGGTTCTTTTTCTGTAACTCTGCCATCAGTAAATGTAGTGTTTAATGCAACTTTTTTTTTAAAGATGTTATTTATTTATTTGACAGAGATCAAAAGTAGGCAGAGAGGCAGGCAGAGTGAGAGAGAGGAGGAAGCAGGATCCCTGCTGAGCAGAGATCCCGATGTGGGGCTCGATTCCAGGACCCTGAGATCATGACTTGAGCTGAAGGCAGAGGCTTTAACCCACTGAGCCACCCAGGCGCCCCTTTAATGCATCTTTTAATTTAAGTGTCTCTGTTTTTTTCTAGCTGCTAAATGAGCATATTATGGTCTATGATTTAAATATCCAGAGTGCATATCAATCAATTACAGGTTATATTTGAGTTCAATTAATATTTTAATATTTGTTGAAGACATACAAAATGCCTGGCATCACCTCGGAAACTCTAAACATTCAAACATCTTACCAAGATTGACATTACCTAATTCAAGATTATTTTCAAAGATAATCATGAAATCAATTCATTTCATAACCAAGTGCATATGGAAACTTTCATAAACTTCATTTGTAATTCTTGCTATATATTCAAGGACACTCCATAATATATCCCATAAGTGTTCATAGCAATTCAGATCTTGATATGGAAATGTCAGTAGGATCCTCAAGGGCAAAAAGCTAAATATAGCTTCCTCTAGCGTTGCCCTTTCTACTACAGCACCGTATTTGTTGATGTGTTTTCCCTGCTTTCTTCTTCCTGTATAAGTTGGTGGTATGATACTAATAAAAGGCTTGGTTATGGTCTGGACAGTTTATACACCAGTGCTGTCTAGATGTGTTTTGGTTTGTTGTAAGCTACTGAGGTTTTCTGAGGTTTTCACAAGCCATAGATGGTTTGTACTCAGGGGGAGAATGAAAAAATAAAAACAAACACAAAGAGACTGGTGAACCGTAGTATGATTGTTAGCTCAAGCATTAAGCAGTGAAAATATTCAGGACTAGAAGTTAGAAGGCATATAATGCTTAAATAGCTTTAATGTGACTTTTTGGGGCTAGTATTTTTGTATGTCAGATTCTGTTTATGATTCATAATGATTCTGAATTTGAAATTCAGCTCAGTTTCCTTCCATCTTGCTGTTTGCATTAGAAAGAATTCATTACAAAGAATTCTAAAAAAAGAACTGATGTAATTTTATTTTAGGGCACAGTGAATCTAAGACTACTCTATAAGTATTCTAATTAGGATCATTTTGGAGAATAGGGAGCATTTCCTTTAACATTATTTTTATTATCTTTATTTATTAGTTCATTCACCTGTATTAATAAGTATGATTTTTAGAACTGGGTAAGTTGCATTTTCTAATACTTTGTGTTTGTGTGTGGAAATGTAAGGCTTGATATGACTCTGAAAGTTCCCTTGAATTGCTTTACCTCCTTCAGAAAGATACCCTTCTTCATAGTTGAATATTCTTCCCTTTACAGAAAAAAGTTTTGGAGTGAGACCATTATTTTATATACCTAACCATCCACTTAATCTCTGATCAAGTATTTGAATGGCAACGTCTGACCAGTGAAATATTTGAGTGTTTTTCAAATTATTCCTGATCATAGCTTTCTTTCATTATTTTTTTCAGAGGTTATCTTTGATTGTTGGGTATCTGTAGTGCTTCGCTAAACAAATTTAATTTATGCTATTGTGATTTCTACTTAGCTTATAAAATAATTTTGTCAAGAAGATGAATATGTGGGAAAGTATCAGAGAATTCTAATTAAGAGTGTTTTTCTTTATTTGAGACTTTAGAAAATATCAATAATGAAGTATGTTTTAATCCATTTATTTTTTCTTTGTCCTTTCAGGTGGATCTCCTTACTTAGCAACCAAAATAAATGAAGCAAAAGACTTATTAGAAGCAACCACCAAACATTGATCAATACTTAAGAATCATTCTGAAGGAAAAGAAAGGAGAATATAAAACAAAAAAGTCTTGCAAATTAATCTAAACCACGTTGTTCATAATTTTCATACATGTACTGACCACAATCATTTGTTCCACTATTAAGGTATATAATAATAAAAGATTAACAATCTATCTTTTATTATCTTTCTTTTTAAAGATTTTATTTATTTGAGAGAGAGCACAAGCAGGGGGAACAGCAGTGGGAGAGGGAGAAGTAGGCTTCCTGCTGAGCAGGAAGCCTGATGTGGGGCTTGATCCTAGGACGCTGAAATCGTGACCTGAGCTGAAGGCAGACGTTTAACTTATTGAGTCACCCAGATGCCCCTATCTTTTTATTATCTTTTAAAGGAACACCTTAAAATTCAATGACTGATCTTCTTTCTTTTTTTCCCTTCCTTTCTCTGTGATAGTCATACATTTGAAGTTTTTTGTTCTTTTAGTCCTAAGTTCTCTTGGCTCCCCACCCTCACTCAGTTATCATCATCAGTAATGTGGGAATTATGAGCAATAAGTAGAAATTTTCTTACTGCTGATACTGATATTCACAATATCCCTTGTTTCCTTAGAGGACTTTACTACTCTGCCTATGTAAGGGTTTGAGATCGAACGCTGACTGCCATCCCATGAGAAAATGATTGGAAACTCAATCAAATTTACTAAATGGTGTTTTGTAAAATAGTGGTTAGGACTTATTAAAGAACTGTGTTCTCTCTGAGACCCTATAACTGAAGCATGGGAACTTGGAGAGCTACTAAAATGATTAAAGATTTGCAAAATGAGCCCAGTGAGGAAAAGTTAAAAAAGTGGTAGGAGAAGTCTGAGGAATTTGTCTTTAATCACAGCCTTCCAGTACTGTATATTTATTCAATTATTCGTTCTGCAAGTATTTATTGACCACCTATAATGTGTAAGGCTCTCTAGTGGGTCCTCAGAGAGTTATAGTTGTGAACCAACCATGGATCATGACCCCAAAGAAGTTACATTTAGAGAAAAGATAAATCACACTATTATAGAAGTACAGGTGATATGCTAACAAAGTGCAAAGAAGAAAAGAATATTTTAAACTGAGAGCATAAAGGAGGAGCTTCATAGAATAAGTGGCATGAAAGCTGGGCTTTAGATACAATTAATAAGAGATAAACCATATGATTGGTGAGTCAGTGTTGTTTCCCCTGAGATCACTCACAATTAGCAGAAATAGGATTTATTAGTGTGATTAGAGTACAGGGTTTCTCAGAAGCAGTGGACAGACACATAATCTTGAAGGACCAGCCCTTTAATTTACATTGCATGAAATTATTATCTCCAATAGCCCTCAGTCATCATCACTTTACTGGCCCAAAGGTGAGAAAACAGATTCAGATACAGAGTAACAACATCATTTTCTTATTTTTCCTTTTTTAATTTTTTTTTAAAGATTTTTATTTATTTATTTGACAGATAGATCACAAGTAGGCAGAGAGGCAGGCAGAGAGAGAGAGAGGAGGAAGCAGGCTTCCCACTGAGCAGAGAGCCCGATGCGGGGCTCCATCCCAGGACCCTGGGATCATGACCTGAGCTGAAGTCAGAGGCTTTAACCCACTGAGCCACCCAGGTGCCCCTCTTAGCTTTTTTTAAAAACATTTTAGTTATTGATTTGACAGAGACACAGCAAGAGAGGGAACACAAGCAGGGGGAGTGGGAGAGGGAGAAGCAGGGTTCCTGCCAAGCACAGAGCCCAATGTGGGGCTCGATCCCAGGACCCTGGACCGAAGGCAGACGAGTAACGACTGAGACACCCAGGGGTCCCAGCAGCATCATTTTCCAGTACTCCTTTATAAATCCTCGGTCATCCCAGGTAAACTGACCACTATATTTCAACTATCTTAAAATTACTTTTTAAATACTGTGGAGGAGCCTCTTCATGTTGCTGGCAAGTGAGTATCGGCTTTGGCTGGGAGGTTGACCAGGGCCATCAGCCAGGAGGAGCCTCAGTTGCTCTCCACGTAGCTTCTCCCCAGGGCTATGGAGAGAAGCATCATCACACTACAGCGGCTGTGTAATGAGAGAAGGTGAAGAGACAGGAAGCGGAAGCTGCAAACTCAAGCTGGCTCTGGTAGTGGTTCCCATAGGCACCGAGCCTTCCTAGACTCAAAGACAGAGGGTACAGGGGATTGTGGGAGAACTAGTGGCCGTTTTTAACATGTAGCAGGGCAGGGTTTAGATTTTTTTTTTCCCCCGCTTACTCGAATCAATTAAGGCATTGCTTTAAAAATTTTGTCAGGAGCATAGATTTCAAGTACACTAGAGTAGTTTCAGATGACACAAGTACTACTCTAGGTAGGTATTAATTCAGTAGTCATTCTGTAAATGGCGTTATACTTATGCAATTAGGTTTTAAAAGCTGCCCACCCTCAGCTCTTTAGTATCTGTAAAAAGCTTATTTGAATGGTTACCTATCCTCAGTAAAGATGGCTTTTACATATTTGCTGTCATTGCATATTCTTCTTAATTAAGTTCTTTGTTGATATTGCAGTTTCTGTTTATTCTTACAACTTAGATGCAATCTGAGAAAGCAGAAAAGACCTTTTAAAAATAAAACAGTTAATTCCCAGATCCAGAGAAAGTGTAAGTCAAACGGACAGTTAATTAAAGGGAGCACAGGATGCCATTTAGACCGTAGTTGGTGGCGCTAATCTCTAGCATAAAGTCAAAAGTGGAGAGTTGTTCAGTAAGGGAAAAACTATGGTGATTGCAGAAGACATTGTTTTTTTTAGTCTTCAGACCATTCCGTTTATTTGGTTTGAAATGCATTTTAGTGATTCAGTTAATATTAAATACTATGTCAGGCAGTAAAGATATAAAATAAGTACATTCTTAAAATGCATAATATGCTCAAAATAAATAGAAAAAACAGATTCTTACTTTTTTTTCCCCTGATACTACTGAATTAAGAAATTCTGAATTTTATTACTGGGCACACTTGTGATTACCCAGCATGGTCATTAGACATAACGTATTTTATCCAAGGACAGAAATCCTTTGGTTGTCATGGAGAATCTTGAATACAAAAAAGAGCCTTTAGTGACATATCTTCAACACGTTTGGCAATTAGCTTAAGGTAGTTTACTGACATTTGTGGGAGAAGATGAATCAAAAATACTGAAGTTTCTCTGACTCAATTCACTGAAGATGAGCTGTAGAGGCTGCAGTGCAAAGTTAAATATCTAGGTAGGCCAGCTTATTTTGCACATTGGGAACCATACCATCCACAGGCACTCAGCTCCTCGCCCACAGTCACCTCCTTAAAGGCCTCTGGCTCCAACGAGGATTTGATGGCAATGTCAGCAGTGTGCCTCCCTCCTATCAGAAGGGCAACCCAAAGAGCATATCCCATTAACACTACATCAGTATCATCTACTTGTCAAAAGCATTCCATGAATTATGGGCCGAATTTTATTTATGGTAGAGTTAGACACATTAGAAAATTAGAATTTTAATTTATTAGCTGGAAAAGTTGAGAAGTTCTCTGGACTCATTTTTTTTTTTAGGTAGAATCTAAGTGATCTGGATCATTGCCCACCAGTGAAATTGCTGGGCATGGTAGACAAAGAAAATGTTCCTTCTAATGATTTTTATGAGCTGAGTAGCTATTGTTCCCAGTTGAGTGCTCTTTTCCTTTTTTTATTGTTGCTGAGCAAAAGAATTTATAAAAAGCTTTTTTTTTTATTAAAAACCCTGCTCAATTGAAATGCAAGTTCATTAAGTGCTATTCATTTTTCTTCCTGCCATAATAACCCTTTCCCCCTCTGCTCAATTCAGGAGTGCCTAGCAGCCCTGGTCAACATTTTAAGTCTGAACAGACTATAATATAGATGGAGATACGCAATCTCCAACATCAAGAGAGAGTTTTATTTCACGTGGGCAGAATACGATCACTCAGGCTAGATGTTAGCTATAAATTTCACATAAGTACCTCAACTTAGAGGGGCAAGATGCCCTTGGAAAGTTAAATCAACAGTGGGAAATTTAATTTTTTGACAAGATGAAAATCACATTGAAAATACTAGTTCAATATTGACATCTAAGTTGTAGTGCTAAAGACTAAGAAATTAGAATCAGCTCGTTATCATAAGTCCAAGAGATTTTATTAAACTAGCTAATAGTTGTTGAGCACATTGTGCCAAGCATCCTGCCTACATTATCTCTTTTAATTTTCACAGTACCCATAAGAAATAGGTACTATTTATATCCCCATTTTACAGATAAAGAAAGAAAGGTAAGGTCAGAGGAGTTTAGGAACTTTACCAAAATTATGTAATTAATAAGCAGTGGGACTAGGATCCAAATCCAGTTTGGCTTGACTCTGAAGCACATATTCTTTACCTTCCCATTATATTGCACTGATTCTAGACATGTGGGAATCATTGTAAAATGAAGGGGCTTGCATGGCCCTGTACTCATTCATCGATAACTCTGAATGTCGGGTGATAGTTTGTAAAATGTTTATGGAAGAGTCATGTCATTTGGCACTATGAATGAGGACTGCCTAATGTCTTGATTTCTGCCCTGGAAACTTGTGATGCCCGTCTAGCTGCACATAGTGAAAGTTCACTTGTAGAGTTTAGCAGCTGGGTTTCTCTGACTTGAGTGGGGGGTCGATGAAACTTAGAAGAGATTTTATGTGAAACTTTCATGGGCCAAAGCTTCCTAGGAAAACATCTAGAGCAAAGTTCAGAGGACGGCTTGTGAAACTGAAGCAGCAGGCATTGGGAGAGAAATGAAGAAATTGCTCGATATAATAAAGATGAGAATAAGAAGGCTGAACTTATTGAAAGGAACGGGGGTAGTGAAAAAATTAAGGTTAACAAGAGAGACAACTGAACAAAGAAAAGATCACTTACAGCATTTGAAAGAGAATTGCCAGAGCTCAGTAGATTTCTTGAAAACTTTGCAATATTCCCAATTGTAGACTGGCTTATTTGTTCATGCCATGCTTTTATGCCAAATTCCAGAATTACATTTTGCACAGTTAAAGGCTTGTCTAGTAGAACCCATAGTTCTTAAGTCGCCGATCTAAGAATGTGTCTTAAGATTACCACTTAATTTTCTGTGTTCTCAGCTGCTCTACTCAAATGGTGAAAAGGTTTCTGACTTCCAGAGATTTATAACTCTGCATAACTCTAATATTGATAGTGGATTTGTGAGTTCTTTGAATGTCAGATACCCCTATATTCACGAATAAGTTCATTCCAAAGCCAACTGCCTGGTCTTTCCATCTATCTGCTCTTAGATTCCCAGGCCCTTTGCTCTTTCCTTCTGTAAATGTGGACCATCAAGAGTTCATTTTCGAAGTATTTACATCTTGGCTTCTATGCCTCTGGAGTGGGACGAAATTATCTAATAATGTTTGTCCTGTGGTGGTGGGAAGTCAGACGACATCTGTGTCGTTTGCCTCTCTTAGGCTGTCCTGGAATGTTGTAGCACAGTGTGGCAGAGAGAGCAGCATGTACAGAAATGCAGCCCTCCCTAATCAGCCCCACTCAGATCTGATGGTATGCTTTGTTCCTCAGCTTCTGGGTACTTAAGTATTCAGTCTTTTACTTAAGTATTCTACTCTTTTACACTCTTACATTATATACTCGTTTGGGCTTTTTTCCCCTTGCAAACATTTTTTTTAGCCCAATATGTAAAAATTATATACATACTTACATATATACATATATACTACTGTGTTTGTTTTGCTTTAAAATTGTAAAGGATAAACTAAGATACTTCTATCTGTCTCGTTTTCCAACACAGTTAAAATTAAATCTGACTTGGTAAAATTGAATTTACACTAAATTTTTTCTGTCATACAACTCGAAGAAAATACACTAATCGTATGTGTTATGTAACTTCGTTTACACCGTGATCGCTCTTGCAGGCACTGCTTTTATTTCTTTTATACCTCTGTTTCAGGAGATGCTGGGCCCGGCTGCCTCTCAGGACACAGTATTGATTGGTTCACTTCTAAATGCTACTATCAGAAACTGAAACTGTAGACGCGTGGATTTTCTTAGAAGCCCTTGGTGAAACTTGAGTTTTTACCCTTCATACCAAAATAAGCAAGGGGAAAAAATAGAAATCAGCCCAATGATACTTTAAAATTGATTTGTGTATTTATCTTGTAACACAGATACCAAAGAAAGTACCTATTTCCTTGGTTTATTTCTTTCTTGCCTCAGGTGTATCCCTAGCAGCTTTTGGCCTGCAGCTGCATAAAGAACTCTAAACAGAGGCATTGGTATTCGAAATGCTGATGCAACCAGACTGTTACCCTGGGTATTACCGAAAATGTCTGCACAAATGCCTGGATTCCATACTTAGTGTAAATGACGGATAGGCTACTGTTCTGTCTCCAACTTCTCCCTGAGGGGAGTACAGATAGGCGTGCCCTATGTTTCTCCTCTCTTGCCCTTCATCATCTGGCCAACCCCACACAGTGGTCACTTCGTAATTCTCTCCCAAGGCCAGTTGGACAGTGCACACCACAGTCACCTGGCCTGGGAGGGTCTCGTGTTGTCATTACACACCATCCTATGATGTGTTTGCAGACAGGAAGGGGAAAGAGGACTGACAGTATTGGGATAACATAACATGAAGGGTGTGTCTATCATAAAATACGAGCTTGAGTTTTGTTTTGTCAGGAGAGGAATATGTTTTCCACAGCAGTCTGGTGAATTAAGAACAATATACTGAGTCCTACAGGGAACGTGTTCTATTTGACTCTGTTGATAGGATTTATGTGTGGAACATCAATTTTCTGTACAGACATAATTGAGTACATATTACCATGATATGAAAAACTGGAAGCATACATATGGTTGTGTAGGCTGTTAAATTTTAAGAAATGTAACAAAGAGGAAAATCAAACTGAAAACAACACAGCTGATGAAATTATTAACTTGAAGTTTTTGCTCAAGATATATGTGAAGTACACACATTCTATGTAGAAATACAAAGACAAATAAATTATCTTAATGTGTTACCTTCTTCCTTTTCGGATTGAATTTTTTAACAGCAAGAATGCCTAACGGGCAGTTCCTGGGGTCTCGTGGATGGCTTGGTGACAGCAGGTTCAACAACAGCTTCAGCCCTCAGGGCTCTGAGTAGAGTATCTGGTGTCAGGAGGTCCGAGGGCCTTTTGTCCTCCTGCATTTTTTTCCCCAAAGCCAGGCTGAAAGTTACTCCTGGGGACAGAAAAGGAACTTGGCTGACCAATCTGTCACCAGCCTGAAAGAAATGTATAGGAGTCCTACACGCGTAGGAAGTGGATATCAGCCGGAAGCCGGGCGGTCTTTGCTCAGAGCCTCCTTCGTGGCCCATGGTGGAATTACCATGGCATAATGTGACTGTCGGGGACAATTTGATCAACCGAAAGAGGTTTGAAGATTTTTAGTGTTGGTGTTACAACAAAGGTTCCGATGTTCTGATCCAGTGAAGAAATGCATAGCAGCTGACTGCTTATCTTTAGGTTTTGTGTCCCCTTCCAAGCCCCAACAGCAAGCACTTCTTGTTCATAAGGCGGCCTAGCCTGAGGCCGAGATTTTGGTGTTTGCTCTCTGGGAGTTAGCAGTCCACCATATGGCAGCCGGAGTTTTTCTCTGTCCTAATAAGCCCATCTGCCTTTGTCCTCTTCTACTGTTAGCCTCTTTTTCACTTTCACACTAGCCACAACTTCATCAGGCTGGGAGACTCCCCAGCGTCAGGGCGCTGGGGCATGTTTCCTGCTTTGCCATCCGTGAGCTCTGGGCCCACAGCCCAGCACCCCAACCCACCTCACCGTGTTTGCTCCCGGGAATACCATCCACCTACCTGCCCATAGAGTGAGACAGTGAGACTAATGAGAAAGGAGTGGAAAATAATGAAATAATGAGAACCACACGGAATGTTCGGGACACCTTCAAGAGAGGTTCAAGGCATTAATATCTTTGCAAGGAAGCAACACTGATTTTTTTAATCTGAGAACCATTCTGCATGTGTACAGAGTTGGAATGTTGAAACTTCTTCTTGTAGGGGCAGTTGGTTAAGCATCTGCCTTCAGCTCTGGTCATGAGCCCAGGGTCCTAGGATTGAGTCCTGCATTTGGTTCCCTGCTCAGTGGAGAACTGCTTCTCCCTCTCCCTCTGCCTGCTGCTCCCCTACTTGTGCTCTCTGTTTGTCAAATAAATAAATAAAATCTTTAAAAAAGATAGGAAGGAAGGGAGGAAGGAAAGATGGAAAGAAAGAAAGAAAGAAACTTTCTCTTGTAAATGAACCAAATGCCTCACCCACAGCCTAATAGCACAGACTTTGAAGTCAGTATTTCTTATTTCCAGTTCCATGTATGAATATCTGCTCCATTTTGTCAGTGGCTGGGAGATAATACTGCATTCTTTTCAGTTTTCTACCTGGAGCTCAGTGTATGAGTTAGCCAGTGTCAAGCACATTCTCCATCATGCCAAGAATGCTCAGTACAGGCTCTGTGCTGCAACCTTAGCACACAGATGGATTTGAAATTTTCCTTTGCAACCCAGCCAATCAGGTGTCCGACTATACCTTGAAGCCAATTAGTATTTTTCACAGAGCCAGGTGCAAAGCTGCCAGGTAACATCTGTAAGTGACTTGGATTGCTCTAATGGGATCTGCATATGTTCAGCCCTATATGAAGATATTTTTCACTTGACACAGAGTCATCTTTGGTCTTGTTCTCCACCCACTCCATTAAGCAGACACACCTACACATGTTACCGATTTGATTTGCTTTCCGAGGAGGATGGTGCCTAGATTTTCTCTTCCTGATGCTACTATTTGTGCAGATGCCTCTTGGAAAACTACCCATTCCAAGTGCTTTCAGAGGGGACAACAAATCTTATGTTATTATCAAGGCATTTTTCTCATAATCCTGCATGTCTAAGCTAAATTATCCAGTAATGATTTATTTGAGTATCTTGTGTTTTCTTTTTTTAACAATAAGTTTAAAGATAGCACTATTCCTCAAAGGGACAACACACCTGAGTTCCTGTAACTTTCGAGACTGGACACAGGTTCTAATCCCCTAGCTCTGCAGCTCATAAGCTCTGTGACTCTGGGCAGGATGCAGCCTTTTCTGAGCCACTTGAATTAGCTGTTTTCTAAGAGTCACGCAGTCTGTTGAAGAAGCACTTGTTCCCAAGTCACACAGACCTAAGTGTAAGTGTCTGAACCACCTTCAATTAGAGTGGTCTTGTGGAAATTTTGTAGCCTCTCTGGGCTTCCTGACCCATAAAATGGGTATAATAATATGTAACTCGGTGATTTCAGGAGTTTAATAATTTCATAGACAAAGATGTGCCTGTTTACCAGTGCCTGTACGTGGTATCTTCTCTACAAATGTTCGTTTTTACTGCTTATCAATTTGGCTTTACTTTTTTTTTCTCTCAAGTACTGCACAAATATAACAGCAATTAAAGGATTTTTAAAAGAATGAATAACAAATTACCAATAATTCCAATATCCTAACATCAACCATTTTCTTTTTTTCTGGGGCCCCTTCCTGTGCCTCTTAATATAGATCTTGGGAATTTATCTTCCAGAAAATGCCTATGGACAAATACACAGATCTCTAGATTGGAAATCAAGCTATAATATTTTACAACATTATCTCAAATTAAAATGCTTTTACTAGAATGAATACTTTTATCAATGCTAGTGACTAAATAAGAATATTTGCTCTTATTTTTTTAACAGCTGAAAAATTGATCCAGGGCGCCTGGGTGGCTCAGTGGGTTAAGCCTCTGCCTTCGGCTCAGGTCATGATCTCAGGGTCCTGGGATTGAGTTCCGCATCGGGCTCTTTGCTCGGCAGGGAGCCTGCTTCCTCCTCTCTCTCTCTGCCTGCCTCTCTGCCTACTTTTGATCTATCTCTGTCAAATAAATAAATAAAAATCTAAAATATATATATATATATATAAATTTTTAAAAATTTTTAAAATTTAAAGTTTTTAAAAAAAGAAAAATTGATCCAAGAGAATCTAGAGAAAGAACAGTCCTTTGGCCAGCTTTACGGCAAAGCAAGGTATGGCAACGGACAATTATTGGGTGCCTCATGTTTGTGCCAGACATTCTTTATATACATGATGTCTTTAGCTAGGTATTTTTATGCCCATTTCATCCACAAAGTGGGGGGTTCAAGAGCTTAAGCACCTTGCTCAGAATCCCAATTAAGAAGGCGTGGAGTTGGATCTAGGTTGACTAACCCCAAAGTCCGTCCTCTTTCCCTTTTCCTGCTGCCTCCCAGGGAGTGTTCTCAGCCAAGTACAAAACTCCTTGCCCTTAAGATTTTTAGCCTAAGTTCCTAAAAACTTCACTCCTGGCTTAGAGTGGATGCTGGGGATTTTATTAAGTCTCCTCGGTGTGGTCATTCATTCCAACATGATCGCAGTCCAAGGACCTCCCTACCTCTGAAGACATTTGTCTCTTGTCATGTTGCATTCAGGATGCCAGAGGAGGAATCCAGCAAAACGAACAGAGGCCCTTTTGTGACAAATAGACTTACAAAGCCGGAGTTGGAGCTGGAAAAGACCTTGCAGATCTGCAGGCCTCCTTCAGGCGCTGTCTGATGGATTTCCAGATCCATGGCATTTTCTAAGCATTTGATCACAGCAAAGAGGATAAACACTGCGAGTTAAAAGGGATAGCATCAGGCCTGGGGGCAAAAGAGAATGTTACCTCTTTCATGTCCCCTCCATTGGGAACCGGTAGGCTTCCAAGAACTCAGGCTTTAGAGGTGGACTGATGAGGGTTTAAATTCTGGCTCATACACTTGTGGCTTTAGACAAGTTACTTAACTACTACTTTTTTTTTTTTTTTTAAAGATGTGAGTCTATATTTATTTTTAAGGAATTATTTCTTTTTAAAATAAAAATGGGGCACAAATTACTGCTTAGCTAGATACAGTAACAATTATATCACTCTTGTTTTACTGACTGGATCTTATTTATTTATCTATTTTAAAAAATTTTTAATTCCCGTATAGTTAACATACAGTGCTATATTAGTTTCAGGTGTACAATATATAGGGATTCAACAATTCTATACATTACTCAGTGCTCATAGTGATAAGAAGTTACTTAACTTCTATGAACCCTCAGTTTTCTTCTCTGAAATGGGAATCATGTCACCACTTCACAGAATTACTGTGAGGATGAAATAAAGTGATGTGAGTCAAATACCGGACATACTGTCCAGTGCATAGCCAACAGTCCCTCACTGTGCACACAACTGATTTCCTTTCACAAAGCCAGGGCTTCTCTACTTTGACTATTCCTTGAGATCACCTGTGTAGTTTTTACAACTCCTAATGTCCAGGCAGTGCCCCAGACTCTCAGAGTTTCTGGGGCGGAAGCCAGGCCACGGTTTTTTCCAAAACCCCTCCATATGTCCATGTCCAGCCAAGGTTGGGCATCCTGGGACTGGGTACAGTGTGAGTGACCCAGAAGGTGCACAGGGCTGAGCCTGTTTGCACGGACTCTGCAGAAGCACAATGGACCAGGCATCAGGGACTGAGGGCCACAGAGCCATGTTGGGGGGACTCTCAGCTCTCCCTGGGAGCTGTAGGCAGAGCTGTCCCCAGGGCCCAGCTGAAGTTAATCACCCTGGGGCCACTCCTCCCCACCCCCACCGGCAGAATTTTTAATCCAAGTGAAACCAGTTTAAAATGGAATTTGAGGGCATCTTGGGAAAGAACCAGGGCCAAAACAGAACACTTAAGGGGAGATGGCATGTAAAGGGGGAGAAGAGGCAGCAGAAGGAGAGCAAGCCTGTACTCACAGGTCCTGACCATGAAGGCACTCTGACTTTCAGTGTAAGGTGCCCAGAGTTACCCTCTCCTT